AAATGCACATACATATTTGTGACATGATGTACTTGTGTGTGTGAAGTTTGAACTCTATCAATCCAAGCATGTCTCAGATACGGATCTAGAACTGAATTCTTTAAAACAAAATGGCCGCCAGTCGGCCATTTCAAACCCGATCCAAAAAAAAAATCCGTCCATGCATAACTGAGATCCGGGTCCGGAATGGTGAAAATGTGCGATTTTGATGCATTTTCGGCCTTAAAATGGCCGCTATTCGGCTATCGTTAATCGGATCATGAAAAAAATGCATGTGCATATGTCCCATATAATGTGTGATGTACGAGTGAAGTTTGAATTTAATCGGTCCATGCATGTTCGAAATACAGGTGATCACGGACGGACGCACGCACGCACACAGGGCAAAACATAAGTCCCCGTTTTCGGACTACGTCCGAACGGGGACTAATAATAAATCTGAAGGTTGCAAAATAGTGTGTAGAGAAGGCACTGCAGCTGATTAGGATACCTTTGATAGGCCTCCAATTGTTTCAGTAAACCACCAAACGACACAAAATGTTGCACGCTGCTCATGTCGAACTGATTCTATTTCCGCAGTATTTTGATGAATATTACTGTAACAGCGAAGGTTTACTAATTTGCATACAAACAATAGGTGTTAGTGATTAATGTACATTTCAGAATAATGATGCACGTGACCATGAGTGGTCTGGATACTCTATGCAGTATGAACGAGTGTGGACAAATTCGACAGACACAATTGTTTCAAAAGAACTGTTTAATGCAAGTATTTAGTAACTGCTTAAATAGTTGTAAATGGTCATATCTAGCAGCCAGGCGTCTTGCTTCGTAAGTATTGTCTGGTGACGTGAATAAGCGCTACTCTATTTAAGCATATACGATTTTCTGTTTACTGCGAGATCTCACATAATGCGTGAAAGGCGCGGAACGAACATCTGCTGCAAAAATGATATGATTTAATTTTGAAATTGAATTTTATAGTTCAATGTCGAAATGCATCCAGAGTGAAATATGGCATTGAGATGAACTTACTTCTGCAAAATTTACCATCATCAAATTATTAAGCGTGGAAATCATACCTACAAAATACTTTCGGGTTTGTCGAATCCCACGCGATGTTTTTACGTCAATGTGACGTCATGACCCTCGTTTGTCCTGTTTTTACGTTCCATTTCACGCACAACGCGGGATTTCGCAATGAGCGCAACATTGTCCATTACTACATTAAATTTGTAGATACACAATATCGACAATAGATATCATCACGCAATCATTAAATTCTTTTCCAAATACCGAACGAATACGAATATTAGGCGTTAAGCCGCATACCAAACTTTCCGTGCGGTCTGTCTAGTGGAAATATTTCTTGCGAATTCTAGACAGAAAAATTGGTAATAATGCTACCAATGCATACCGAAACCTTAAATATAATAATGGTTAAAAAATAAACGTTTTTTATTTTAATTAAGGTAAATCTTGGTCCCCGATCAAATGAGATAAACACTTATTTTTTTACCGTTAATTATTGCGTTTTTAAAGGTATGAAACTAATATATGGGATAAACAGGCTATCAGATTTTGTATTGTATGAACATTGGTGAAATGTCCTCTATTTATATAAACTTGAGTGTTTCATCGATTTGTTTTACCTTTTACTATAATTTCTAAGTGAAGAACAAAAATGATGACAACCAGTGACGCATTAACAGTTTAGTGTTTCTTGACATTGTTTTCAATATTTAATTCGACGTGAAACACCGCGGTACTACGATCCATGACTTTCAACTCGCATATGCTATATTTGAATAATTATTCAGTTGACAAAAATATGCATGTCCCTTTTCAACTCTGACGTCACAGTACTATACACGACTGACACGTCACAGTATGGCACACATGCCACAGTTTCTTAGAGGGTACTCTGGCGCATAGATCTGTTTTTCAAACCCGATGACGTAATAGTTGAAGTCTTCTCTCGACCAGTGAGATTGAACCGTCGTAATTGGTACGATACGAATCTTGTGACGCTGCAAAGAGTGAGAACAAACAAGTTAGAACAGCCGACGAGATTGTCTATAAAACGGCACATTTAACAATATTTGTATGCTGAACAACACTGTCAAAAGTTGGATGAAATGTTGATAATAAAGTGCGTGCATTAATATTAAACAGCGGAATTTTCAGTGTACATGTAAACTTACCTGCTTCAATATTTTTTCCATGGGAAAAGAAGTTCTATGTTTTTCTACGAGTTGTCTGGATGCATTATTCACGTTAATATCAGGGAATGATACAATTGGAGACACCTACCAATCAAGAACAACCAGCTTAGTTTTAGTAACACACATATACATAATCAATATAACCCTGATATTGTAGTCATATATATAGAAGCAATTGTTTTCCCGAAATATGTTCAATCGAAATATTAACTTACTCTTTGCTTTTCTTCTTGAAAGCTGGTATCACCTTGGACATGGCGAATTAGATCATTTGGAATTACCGATGTGCCATCCACAACATGGTCGTCTTTGTGCACTTTCCTGTATACAAATGTATAAAATATTGCATCATCATTACAAACCGTGGCTTTTAAAGAGGTACGGAGAAGTGTTATGGTAATATGTAACCTTTCACACACTAAAACATAGATGATTCACTAGCAATCGTTATGTAATAAACACAACTTTCATTAATACATTTTTAAATGTTGTGCTTAACAGTCGATGTTACCTTTCGAGCATCATAATTTTGTTGCCAAATGTATTCTTCTATAATCTTTGCATAATTTTGGGTCAAATATACACATGCTATTATACTTCTTCGTAAGTTTGCAAATTGCACTACCCAAGTAAATTTTTTTGGGAATAAATAATATAAATTCCATGTGCAATTGTATAAGAGCAAGAACAAGATTTTAAAAGTAGTTCTCAACTCAGATACGTATTTTTCTAAATATCACAACTTGTATAGAAATATAATGTATTTTTTTTGTATTACAAATGTTTTCTGGTATGAGAAAGTGTTTATATATTTACTCTTATCCTGAAGTAAAGTTTAATAATAATAATTTACAATTGTTATGTCAAAATGTATTTTTTGAAAGGTGACAAAAGTTTAATCGTATAGTGAGCTAAACAAATTTGCACATACATTTTCAAATAATAGTACGTACCAGTAATACAATGCACATGCTTTTCTTCGAAGTTCACTATTTCATATTTTGTGTGCTGCAATGTTTTAAGCTAAATTATGAAATTATGAATACTGGTTCTTTAAACAAATATGTCATCTGCTTCAGATTATTACGTTGTGAAGATTGGTGTAGTTGACATCTCAAAACATCGGCAATAAACTGTACTCACCAGCGAATAGTAAGTTTCACGTAGACCTTCAGTCGCCCTTTTGCCTTGCAAATTTTACAGGGTTGAGTGCCGACACCGGAACAGGGAAGACATCTGAAAGCAAATACGGTAAATATTGTGTAAACCAGATTTCTATCCAGTATACCCATATAACCGTGAACAAAATGTCACAGAGATAAAAACAAACATACGAAACAAAAATGACTTACGATCGACGGCCCGTCCCTGCACACGAACCACAAATGCAGCTTCCACTAACAACGCCACCACTGGCCTCATATTTTGATGTATGGCCACTCCCCGAACAAAAAGTACATGGCTGCTATATATAAAGGAGACATTGAGCTATAATAACAGACTGCATATGGCAACTGGTAAACATTTTACTTTTACACATTTCATTGAACTGATTTAAATCATCTGCGATTATACATTGTAACATACAAACATTATAATCTCCCCGTAGGGTCTTACCAATGTTACACCTCGACACGTGACACACGTTGTCCTTCCACTGCCCCTGCATTTGTTGCAATTCTGAGAGAGGGTATAATATGTACAAATTAGTTCAATTCAGATATTACACCTGATAAAATCACATTATTTGCAAATATCGATGGCGTATCTCGTTTTTTCATAGCCAGCGGTTGGCTTTTAATTATAAATAAATAAAACACATTGGTTTTCTGAACTTTGAAAACGTCACATATATACGGTACCTTGACAGTAGCTGTGTGTGGTACTTCCAAAAACGTTCGACCATCTTTAAATGTATCGGTAGGTTGTACGTTGATGTCCCAGGGAGCCGGAGGCGTGTAACCGTCGACAGATTCGATCTCCTGGCCTAAAGTATACAATTGTTCCCTGATGTTAATAGTGTATCAGACGAATCAGACATGATGGATATTGATATTTTATTGGTGGAAACTGAATGCTATTCAGTCACAATCAGCATGTACTTATCACATTCAGTGTGGCATAACCACAATTAACATGGAAAATAAAATAAACTAATATGCTGATGAAAACACTATTTATTCGCGAATATTTAAAAATAAATATAATAGGTAGATACTTACCAAAATACGGTTCAAAAACCCAACTTGTCGTTCTGCTTTCAGCAAAGGTTTCAAGGGTGTACTACAGACAAAACAGAACACGTACTTCCATCATATGTGGTCAGTTCGCATTGAAAGTTGAGAACTAGTACATGGACGCCGTCCAATAATCCCAGCTGAGAGTAAAAAGTTAAAAGAGTAAAAGAGGCATCGGCCTTACGTGAAAAGCACTGTTGGTTTGTATATCGTTGATACTCATTTCAACGGCAGCAGCTCTTCCCCAGCAACAAGCATCATGGTCAATGTAACGTAGCAACGCATCACGTACATCGTCGTCAGTTATAGTGGGAAATCTTGCAGATGAAAGCAAAATAGTGTCATTTAAATAATGTGTATGCATACTACAAGTCACGCCGTACAGATGTGTTCAATGCTGATATAAATAAAATAAGTGTCGGGGAACAGTTATCATGTGATGTCTGTGATGTCACTCCTTCAACCACTGCCAACACTGAAACTTCTACCAATGACCAATTAATTTAAATCGAAGTAGAAACAAAGATGATCCGCATTGAAAAACCGGTTATTTCTCGCAGTCTTTCACCCACATATGCATCAAAACCACAAACTTAATAAAACTTACAAATGTAATAAAAGCTAAAACTATCAGTTATGGTGGTAAATGGTGATGTCATTATCATTTCCAAGACACGAGTACTATAAACAAATCATGGCCAGCATAATAATGTAAGGAACAGATCTCTTGTCAGGACTATCCAAAAAAATACTGATATATCTGGTTCATATTGCAAATATCGATTATCACATTTTACCTCATTTGGTTTTCCTGTCGAGGTTCGGAAAGTATTGCTTCATCATAGCTGGGTGGCTGCAACGGTGCTCCCATATATTCATACCCCGCTGGAGCAGTAAGATGAACAGCCTGTAAGATAATTCTGAATACATAATGGTGGGCCACTAAACAATACGAAAGCTCATTTTTTTCCGTTCGGGGATCGGAGGGGGCGTACTGCTGTATCGGACCATGTAGCATACTGGTAGATTATATTGACTACAAATAACGCCCAGCTTGATAATATTTGAGATATTTGAACACCACCGCTACTGGTAAAGCAAGTTTTAATGGTTTTCCGAACTACGAGTGAATTTCGTAACTAATAGTTTATCCATTTTCCTAAGGATAACCCAGTAAGCCATATGACAACCAAAGTTACAATAATTGCACAAACTGTAAATCACTCTAATGAGAAATTCAAGTAGGGTGACAGACTGTATGCATATGTACATTCAACAGCGAGTCACTTGACATGGTAAAGCTAAGCTGAAATGTATCGTCTAAATTTAACAACGCCTATACGTCAATAAAAGAGGGGAGGCAAGGGGGGTAAGCTGGTACGGTTTTACGGGAAATAAAAAGGGCTTTTCACAATTTACGAAGAAAAAAAAGACGTTTTTACAGTTTACAGTGTTAACAAATGTAACATTGAATGGCCCAAAGAGTTCTCCGACTCAAATTCTCCACCATTGCTGCGCCGTGCGCATATTACCCTCGTAATGCTCTTCATTCGGTTAGAGGGCCTTTTACGTCTTGACATTCAATTTTGTAGTGAATTGTGTCATCTAGTCGTTTTACAGTTTCTAAAATGTAATTTCCCTGGATTATTCTTTACGATTTTTTATTTGGATTTGAATTTTTGTACGTACGAGAAAAATGACACATTTTCACAGTGTACGAAAAAAATATTTGATTGATTACGTTGTACGTCTAGCCTGTGATTACAGAATTACGGAATTTATTTTTTGTATTTACGTTGTACGAACAAAAAAATATTGCAATTACGTTGAACGAAAATTACCCTTGCCCCCCCCCCCCCCCATAAAATGTTATAGGCGCTTACCAATATGATCGTCAAGTAAAACACACAACACAAAACTAGTCTGAAAGAAACAATACGTAATCGCACTATACCTCAGCCGGATCTACACCTGAAGCCAGCGAGCGGGGTTCTAGGATATCGTGGTACGGGGGAGGAGGGGGTTGGTTCGGATAGTTTGTCCATTCGCTGCCTATTGCATCAATATTTCCCGGATAATCTCTATTCATTGCTGAATTGTCACTTGCTTCTCGGTGTACACTTGAACTTTGTTCACTGTAATAAATAAACCGTAACACTAGCACATTTAACACATTTGTTGCGAGTACGACGAGTTCTCTCGAAGCGATTTAGGTCATCATGGCGGTCGCCTGAGCATAATGGCTGTGTCGTCATTGCTTGACGTCATATTTATGACGTTTGTATCAGTGTAGGTGTGATTATAAACCAATCGCGCGCTATTAGCAGTTGCGAAAGCTTAGCATTATGCAGATTAGTTGTAATAAGAGTTCAACTAAAAGGTCGGCCTGAGGTCAGCCTGAGGTTATGTTTATCATGTGTTCTATAGTCTATGGTTTTATATGTCGAGATATCACTGGTTCAGGCAAATAGTCTGTTACGGAACACGTCTTCTTAGTTACCCAATAGAGTACTTCTCAAGACGAGTGTGGAATGTTATGTGAACTGCAAACACGACTTGTATATACACTCCTTATTGTGAAGTAAGTTGGCAGCATAGTGCACTGTCAAAATAACCCCTGGAAATAACGATAGATTCATCACCTGTTATTGGCAGTACTTCCCGTGTTTGAATTCACAGGTATGGCTGATGCCCCTCCTCGGGGCGCTTGAGGATCTTCGCCGTGATACGGGTACGGTTTCTGTTGCCGATATTTCGAAGCCATCGTGTGTTGGTATGGTCACATGACTGGAGGAACCGGTACGCCTGAGTCATCGAGATGCATTCATCATGACGTGGCATACTTGTATATCGAGTAGGGAAAACAGCCGTTCTGAGCGTTTGACATTGACTTATCACGCCGTATTATTTTCAACTCACAATCGGTCTAAATATTTACAGCTTAGTTGATCTTTTATTTTGGCAACCGCATTTTCAGTGAAATGAAACTTGTTTTGATGACAGGTTCGTTGTATTCATCAAACAACTCGGTCATGCACACAACGAATGCTCGATTCACGTGGTTCATAGCGTCAAAAGTTGTAAACAAATAAGGTAGTCTAAACAGTGTCTTATCACTGTGGCTCGTTTACATGAAGCATCCATGAAGCACTAATAAAAACACATGGTTGAGCCAGGAATTCGTGGATTAATAGTACCCCATTTCATTTGTAGCGCACAATAAGGGAGAGGAGTTATAATTACATTATTTAATAATAAATCGTTATTATTAGTCTATAATAGTAATAACATATCCACTCCCTTGTGTATATTTCAACTGGTTACCTGTGTCAGCGCGAAGCAGTTCGCAGTTGGAGCGTTCGGTGTATGTTTGCAATAGAACTGGAAATAGCTAGCCCATTCAAACTTAGCACACACCTGACCCGGCCGCAAGACCTGACTGTAAGAAATAAGAATAAACAATCATAGCTCAG